TCAGCAATTAATTTGCTTTATGCTCACATAGAAGTTCTTTTAAATCGTAATAATATACTGTTTTTGAACAAGTAAACCCAGACTTGGTGAGCAGAAGAGTGACCATTTTATATATAGCCGTAATGCACAATATTTACAGCCTGTTGTGCCTAAGGAATATATGTCCCATGACAGAATTTTTCTTTTTACCATGAAAGAATTGATGTTAACAAACAGTCTGCATTCCAGGAGTGATCAGAAGTTCAGTCCACCAGAGAACATGGGCATGCCTGTGTGGAGAGCAGGGTCACAACACAGAAGAACAGCCATGGTAAGATGAGAGAGGACGTCAGTCCATCAGCAAACCACACTCGAAAGTGGAAACTGATGTGTTTGCTTGTGTTCCTCGCTGCAGGCAGAAAGAGTTCCCATGGTGCCTCTCTCTATCCCTGAAAACGAGAGCAGTGACCGTGACGGTGTTCAGAAACCAGAAGCTCCAGCTGCACACGGCAGTGGTTTCTCCAGGTGAGAGATGTGGACCTGTGCAGGGGCGGCGATTTGACCGAAAATAAATATCCGTCATTTGAGTACTGTAATTCAGTGAGTTAGTTAAGTACTCCAGGGATGCAATTTTTGCTATTTTTATTTTCCTACGAGAAGCATGACCCACGTGAAATGCGAAAATACAAGAGAAAAAATGTTAGGTTTACAAATACTTTTAATATATGTATTTTACAAGTGCAATATTATTGCAACAGTAATACTTTGATTTGTTTAATTTTTTTAATTGAAATCATAATTTAAACATCCTTTTCATTAATAGCAGTAATAATGTAAAAGTGTTAAACTGTCTCATAGTCACACTGTCTTAAATTTAAATCAAGCTTTAATGTTGGATTTTCTCCAGGCAAACAAGCGGTTCAAATGTCCGCTCCACGTTCCCCATGTGTTCCTCAAGGAAAGGCACTCCGGATGGGGACTCCTACAGTTTATTAAACCTGAAGGTATAAGTGTCTTCCAGCCTTAAAATAGACTTAAACTCACCAGTGCTGAGAGTCATGAGTCATACAGTAGCAACAACTTTCAGAATGTAAACGTTCACTATGTAAAGCTAATACTGAATAGTGTTGTTCTGTTTGTGCAGCCTCCTCTGATCAGTCCAGATCATCTGAGGGGAAACACTGAAGAGGGCGACACCATCACAGCACTCCTACAAAGAGCAGAACGAAAAGAAACCGCTCGAACGGAAGGTCATTCTTACATAATATGACCCATTGTTGACCCAGAATACTTTTTTTTTTTTTTTTACACTCATGTCTATTCGTTCTGTCCACAAAGCATTTGATTTGTGACAGGCTCATAATTATGACCTCAGAAGTATGAAGTGTCATTTCTTTGGCTTATTAACAGTAAAGGTGTGTTTAATGCCTGTATAATTACATGTTTTGAAAACCTCTCAGGTAACTCTAGGAAGAGTAATTTGATTCTGCAGAAAGCGCTGAGCTCAAACGCACGGCCGGTTGAACTGCTGCAGACCGCTATCAGAAATCTCAAGTCTGGTAAAGCTCATCTGCTTCCTGCGGAGCATGAAGAGAACGCTGCAGGTTAGTCTCAGACTCTTCTGTTAAAGGAGACCTTTTTTTTCCCCCTCTGAGGTGCACTTTAGAGCTTTCTTTATTTGTTTTTGCTGCTGTGTATTTTAGGGCTGTCAAAATGGCTGAAAAACTAAATTCGAATTTTGTACTTAAATATTATCAAAATTCGAATTCTAGAGATGGTTCTTTAAAGAACCTTTGACTGAATGGTTATTTGTGGAACCAAAAATTGTTCTTCTATGGCATCGCTTCAAGAATCTTTTGAAGCACCTTTATTTTTAAGAGTGTAGGGGGAAAAAAGCTTTTGGCTTCTCTCTTGAGGCCACAAGAGGGCACATCGAGCAAAATATTACTAATGCACGTTTCATCAAAGCATAAGATAACACGACTATCTGTGAAAAAAGTGCGTCATGTTTAAAATAATGTTTATAAACCAATTATAATTAAGCTGCTTAAACGACTATAAACAAAACAGCAGCATGTATGTATGCATAGTTTAATACAAAGGACCGAAAGCCAATCACACAGAGTACATTTTTCATTTAAAAACACGAGTTGCAGTGAGATGGGAAAATCCCGCCATAAAGTCTCGAGATATGTTTTTTCAAAGTTGAACTTGCATTAATTTTTCATGGCTTTCTAAACATGCTGCTCTTTTGTGCGAGATGCGAGTGCAACGGTGATAGATGTCCCTCTAGAAAGTGCATGAAATATGCGTTCTGTGTGAACGGCTTGGTTTCAGTTTTGACGTAAACCAGATCTTCTCAGCATTGATGTTTCCTTTTCCTGCAATATTTTTAATGAACAACGCAGCAGCGCCGCATCTAGTGGCTTCAACTGGACAGGCTAACATAAACATTATAATACATCGTCACTTACATCGTCATCGCATCTCGTGCGCCGCTGATAAGGCTGCCTCTTTAACGCACACCTAAAATTCGAATGCAACGTTTTTGCATTCGAATGTGGATTTTTATTTTAAATTCGATGAATACTCGAAATTCGAATTTTTTTTTTTTGACAGCCCTAGTGTATTTGCAAGTGTTTTCACACCATAATTGCTGTCACTGGACATCTGCCTGTCACTGATCTGCAGTGCACAGCAGTCGAGTTGTCTGTTTGTTTGAGGTGGACTTCAGTGTTGTTCACACAAGACTCATATTTGTGTTCTGTCATGAAGGGTCCATAGAAATCTGTGAGCTCCAAAATACTTAAAGATCATTTTTACTTTGAAAACCTATTCATCAAGTTGCGGGACTGAATGTATTGCTGTTGAGTTAAAATCAAGAGACAACATAATTTGTGTTTTTTAATATAATGCATAGAATAATACTTCCATAATTAATTGAAATCATACTATATTGTTATAATATGGCCATTGTATTACCATATTGTCTACATGAGCCATTGGAGCTTGGACCCTGGTAATCACTGTTAGTGGCTACATTTAAGAGGTCATTATTATGATTATTTAAAAAAAATGATATATTTAGTCTGTGTACACATGAAGACAGACATCTTTTCAGTGTGTTATACCTGATTTATTTTCTTTCTCTCTCTCTCTCTCTCTCTCTCTCTCTCTCTCCCTCCCCTCCCTTTCTCTCTTTCTTTCTAGTTTTCTTCTTTTCTCTCTTTCTTTCTTTCTTTGAAGTTTAAACATTTTGGTCTTCACATTTCCAATGGGAATGATTCTTTTTTTTATTTTATTTGTTTATTATTTTATATAAAGTTAAGGATGATTGTTACATAGTAATGCAACCCTAACCCTACACCTAATATGACATTTAGCGTTTTGAGCATTGTTTTCCTTTGAGTGTCTTCTAGGGTTAATGTGAAAAATGGTTGTACAAAAAAAGAATGATACTAATGTTTGGTTTTGCAGAATATTTGGAAGCACCAAGTAACCGAAAGGAAGAAGAAAATCCAGCGAAGGCTCGTGAGGAGCAGCAAAAGCCTCTTGCCAAGGAGACTTCATCCGAATGGAAGATCCCGACTCTCATCAACAAACATGCGTCTCCGGAGGTCTGCTTACAGCTCACGCTTTTGTGTTTCATATTTGAGCTCCGAATGATTAGAGTGGACTCAGCTGGGATTGGTTCGTGATCAGTCTG